GACCCGATAGCTCCCTCGTCGTCCATTCTCCCTCGACTATCTTCGCCAGGTTGCTAGAACATGCTTGGCCCATTTTCTGGCTCTGATACAATCTGCTAAGCACGAAAAGCCTATTGTAACTTTCGAGTAGATGCACAGCTCTATCAAAGTTACCCTTCCAGTTGTCAACAAGTTTGTTCAGCTCTGACCGCAGAGAACCTCCAAGTGGTGCATTTCTTTCGTGAATATGTTTCGCATCTAGATAAAGCAGTAAATGTAGCAAGGCAGCGTCGACACTATTAAACACATACGTCTCATCTGTCACACTACCATAGCCTCGTTTCTTCTGCCAACCAAGTAGATAACGCCTAACCATGTGAAGAATATCGTCATCGATGCGAAAATTTGGCAGTTTATGTTCTGTTTCTACATCTGGTGGACTGAAACACGATGATATCACCTTGACTAGGCCATTGTATACCCAGATCCCTTGCGGGCCTTGAAGTACTTCATCTTTGAGTAGAGGTATTAAAAGGAGAAACACTCGTGGGTCGAGCTCCCCGGCGACGAGCGCATCTTCCGTTGATTTTATCGTCGACTCGACCCGAGACCCTGCGTTCGCGGAGAGTAGATCAACAAAGAGAAGCAAACTTGCCTTCTGTCGGACGTAACGCAAACCGATGTATTCTGTTTCTGTTTTGGGTTCCATATCTTGAAGTCCTTGGATGAGACCTATAATGGCTTCTCTATCAATAACAACATCATTCTGGTCGGTGCTACTTTTTTGCTTAGCCAATTCGAGAGAATTCTCCAATTGCAGCGCCAGCGGATTCCGTAGAACCCTCCAAATTTTGTTTCCTTCCCAGAGAAGTATACTGCTGTTGACAGTTGCGAGCCCACGGGCAAACTTGGCCTCTTCTTGGTTCCTTTGAACTTCCCAGTCACGGTTAACACTCGATGAAGAAGGATGCTTTTGGCCGTCAGAGTCAGTGTCCTGGTTATCAAATAGCTCCCTTTCCTTTTGTAGATGTTCGAGGGAGGCCCGGGTTCTCGGGTCGCTATTCTCTGAGGGTGTTGAAGGAATCGTTGGCGAAATTACGCTGGACAATTTTAATCGAACCATCCGCATCACCTCGACGATTTCTGAAAAGGAGGCACGGCTGGCGCCGACAGAACGCCTGATTCCAACCGCGCCGGGAGATGGGCTGGCTGAGGGTATTTCTACCGATGTCTTTTGTAACCTACGTTCCCCTGGAACTGCGTTCCACCTCTGCACCTCGAGATATGTTCGGCTATCCTCGTCGTCGTCGTCAGCGCTGATAACTGCCAAGACATACCCATTCTGATTTTCGTCACTCGTACGCGGATGGCTTCCCTCGTTACTGTCGTCATCGACTACAATGGCCATTGGGTATTTGCGAAACTCAAGAGTCCCCCGAACCACATCCCCCTCGACATTAACAAACATACCCACACCAGGCTCCGACGGCTCAGTGCCCGTAACCAGGAGAAATTCAGAAGCGGTTGGTGATACGACATGTGGCTTGAGTCGCGTCGTCGATTGTTTCGGAGGTGGGGGGGGCAATGGCTTTTGGTATAACGGAGACGATCCGTCGGAGCCTGGCCCACCGTTCTCTGAAGATGGTCCTGATGAATCAGGAGATTTTTTCTCAGGGGAGCCTGGCGAACCAGGGAGAGTCCTATTCTTCATGTAGGACTCCTGAGTTATGGAGCTTGATCTTTGGGGAAAGTTTGGATGGGGGTTTAGTTGGATGTTCCCAATGCCACTTAGTGTATTTAGACTCGCGCTTCTACCGTGTCCTGGGGCATTTGAAATTGATGGAGGCTGGTTTCCTTGAACAGGGGTGTCAGTTCGAACTGGTATGTCTTCCACATGACCAGATTCAAAGCTTTCCTCTGAGGAAGAAATTGGAAATAATGGGATCTTCTGGCGGTGCTCCACTTCTAATAGAGAGTAGGAATATGCGTCTGCAACGCATGCAATTGTATCTCTGCGAGCGGATGCAAGACACCCTGGGAACTCAATATTTCTCACTCTTCGAGGTTCGTCGCCAATTCTCACAAGCATTATTCTGTTAGAAACTGCAATCATAACCACCGGATCAAACAGGTCTGCACCCTCATGTGATTCATTGAGATCAAGCCCCCCAATCCATTTACAGTTGCCCACTTTTGTAGTTCCATAGGTCGGACTTAGCTCGGGGAGCGAGTAAAATGTGACGACGCCATTACATAGAATGCAGGCTTTGTATGTAGAAGGTAGAATGAGTATCTGCTGCACTCCGAGCGGTGTGTCTGGAGGTAGGCTGCTTTGTGATGGCGTGATGGATAGCCTGGAAGCCAAAATGAAGGACGGCTCGTCCAATACTTGCGAATCGGAAGGGAAGGAAACGAAATGTAGGACCTCTCCAGCAGAGGTTCCGACGTAGAGATTATCGTCTATTAGAGTGGTCAATAACAGTCCCATAGTGATCTGATGGGGGGGAGACACCCCAACATACTCCAATATTCTACACAGGTGATATAGGCATCTTGCTCGGCCCCGTCACCAGCAACCGGAACTGAATCTATGAGCTCTCGAAGCACATACGGACTGGTCTCGGGAGCAGCTATGCGCCGTCTTTTGCGGGGGTTATCGGTATCGTCGTCGGAACTCATCGTATAGGGTGAATCCAGTATCTTGGCCCCTCCCCGTCAACATTAGCAACCGGGGAAATACCTATCGCTGTTGACTATCGAGGGGAGTTGAGATGTTATCATTCTTATTGAATGCGGCTCTCTCCCCGGCGGAGGCAACAGGTTATGGCGGAACAATGTTGATCCGGACTCAGCATCGTATTGCGCGCATATCAACAAACTGGCGACTTCAATGGGAGCAAGGGATGCAATCGTCACACAAGATCGATCGTGGTCTGAGGATTTGATTTATTCCCTCTGCTATGGTTATATAATACGCCTGATACCGGAAAATCCAGAGTTAGCGTCATGGATGCCCTCGTCGCAACTGAGAGCGTCCTCGATGGGAGTACATCGACGGACACCGGTAAGGCAGAGGAACCTGCCAAATCCGAAAAGCTCGCCCAGGAGGAAAACAAGTTCCAGCAGGCTATTGCAGTATGGAGAGGTAATGATAATGATGAATCCGCGCCCTTGAATGTGGACGATTTTTACTGACAAGGCAACGAAGGCATCGACCTTACGAGCCTGGTGCCAAAACTTGACACTACCGCATCAGACATCATAGCACATCAACGAGACTCTCTTGTGCAACGAAAAGATCTGGCTCAGAAAACCAAAGATTTCCGAAAGCTCGATGATTCTACGAAACTCTCGGAATACAAAGGCTTGTTGAAATGTATGCGAACCTCCCTCGGCTTATGCCCTAGTTACATTCCATGTCACTTTACACTGACATCGGGCAACATCTAGCATACCAGACGTTCATTGACCTCCTCACCTACCATGGCAAGGCTTCTTCATCCGCATTTTTGCAGCTTTACTCCTCGTTATCGGAAGCCCCCGATCCGTATCCGCTCCTCGAAGCATCCGTTGATTCCCTAGTCGTGTCCGAAGATACCGTTCCCAAATTGACATCCGAGATAGACTTTCTTCGAAAGAGCACAAACCGCCTTACGTCCCAATTGGAGGAGTCGGAAAAGAAATTGGAGGAAGAACGATCACTCCGACGCAAGTTTGAAGAAAGCCAGGATGCAAGAATCCAGGAAATTGAGGCATCCTGGGCAGCGGTTCTGGCTGAGAAGACCAGTAATTGGGAATCTAAGGAGAAGAACTATGAGGAAAAGTCGGAAAACCACGAACGCTTACTCAAGGAAATCAAGGCGAGCTACGAAGTAAATCAAAGATTGGACCGAACAGACGGTGAAGACACGTCAAGGAGTTCCGCCACCGCAGCGGAGCTTGAAATCGTTGCGTCAGAACTGGAGAAGACCAGCGAGCGATTGGCAGAGCTCGAGGCTCGGAACGAGCAATTGAGTTTAGAGCTTGCGCAGGCTGTATCACATTCCCAGTCCGAGTACAAAAACCGCACGCTCGAAGATGACCCGACATTCCTACGGTTGCAAGCGGAAAATTCGTCTCTTTTGCGAAAACTCGACTCTGCCCGCTACGAAAAAGATGCGGAAAAACATTCGTGGGAAGGAAGACTCCGTCAGGTAGAAAGACAGAACCTGCAGATAACGGCTGAACGAGATGAATTGAAATCCAAGTTGGATAAATGCGCAGATTACGAAGATATCCGACGGGAGCTTGAAGTCATGAAGGTATGCACGGTGCAAGATAGCTCTTTTGTTCTATTCGTTGGCTAATTTTTTTTTTTTTTTATTAAATAAAAATAGTCCATTGAGTTTTCTACTGGGGATGACGATGAGAAGGACGTGACGGAGGATCCAAATTTGATTTCTCATAACGACTCCGGCAAATCGAATGAGAACTCCTTAGAGCAGCTCTTATTAAGTAGGAATAAGAAGCTTTCGAATGAGCTGACTATTTTGAGAGTGTCCCATCAAGATTTACAGAATCAGCTAGAAACCCTACGGAAGGATTTGTCCAAGTCAAACGCGGACCTCCAAAAATCGCGGAATTTGGCATCCACTCTGGAAAACGATCTTCTCCAGATGCAACGAGAAGCATCGAGTTTCCCATCTGCTGCCATGTCGGTTGCCGGCACGTACGCGTCGAGATACCCCCACTCCTACCGTAGAGGCCGAGCCCCGTCACCCACTTCCTCAATCATATCCGGCTTTGACCACGCACACGCATCCGCAAACACAATGGAAGCCATCAAGGCCGGCTCGCCCGTGGGCGGCGGCTCAGGGATCCTGCCAATGGTCCAAGCCCAACGAGACCGCTTCAAGCAGAAGAACACCGAGCTGGAAGAGGAGCTGTCGAAGACGTACGCAATCGTCAAATCGCTCCGCCAGGAAGTCGCCTCGCTCCAGAAGGATAACCTCAGCCTGTACGAGAAGACGCGCTACGTGTCCACCTACAACCGAAGCGGCGGGCAGGGGCAGCGGCAGCGGCAGCGGGAGCAGCCCGCGACCTCCGCGTCCGCGTACGGCAACACCCCGAACGCCAGCGCCATGCATCTCGGCGCAGACTCGGTCGACCGCTACCAGTCCGCGTACGAGGCGCAGATATCGCCCTTCGCGGCCTTCCGCGGCCGGGAGTCGGCGCGCGCGTACCGCCGCATGAGCGTGCCGGAACGCATCATCTTCTCCATCACGCGGATGGTGCTCGCGAACCGCACGAGCAGGAATCTGTTCGCGGGCTACTGCGTGGCGCTGCATGTGCTTCTGTTCGTGATGTTGTATGTGATGAGCACGTCGGAGATCGAGAAGCACGCGGCCGGCGCGGCGCTGGGTTCGCTCGGTGGAGCGGCGATGGCGGGGTCGGCGGGCGCAGCTGGCGGGAGCGGGGGCAGTCCCGGCAATGGCGCGGGAAGCGGCGATTGGCAGCAGGAGAACTTCTAGAGCCACTTCGCGGTAGTTTAGTTAGTTAGTTAGTTAGCTGGACATTTGTGCCGTATTCCGTATCGACAACACGTCTTCTTTCTCCTTTGTTTGTTTGTTGGCGGGGCTGGCCTGGGTATCCCACTCTCCATTCGCCCCCATCCCATCGTCCTTATTATATATATATATATATATATATGTGTGTGTGTGTGTATGTATGTATGTATGTATGTATGTATGTATGTATGTATGTATGTATACTGTATACTGTATACTGTATACTGTACGATGTTTATGCGTTACGCACTTGGTTAATAACTACTCTCTCTTACTCTTTTCATTTGCTCCTCAGATTAAACTGGCCTCGAATTTTCGGATTATTTTCATTTAGATCGTCGTCGTCGTCGTTGTCGTCTCGGGAAGGACGCGCTCACCACGCACACACACACACAACATATATATATATATATATATATACCTATCTATTATATCTCTGCTGTACGGAGTACTCCATCTCATCTCTCCCCCTTCGCACTACTAGTCTAGTAACATGGGAACCATGGGAACCATAGAACACAACACAACAACACAACCCCCATAGACACCCCTAATCACCCCCCCCCCCCCCCCACTTTTGACACATGTAGATATATATATATATATATACATTCCCCCCTCCTCGACTCGAGCCTTGGAATATTAACTCCCACTTTTTCAACAGCCCCCGATTCAACGGTACTGGGTTTCTTATGGTTGGCAGTAGTAAGTAGAGTGGAGTAGAGTGGAGTAGAGTAGAGTAGAAGTTAGAAAGCGGAGACGAGAACGAGGACGAAAGGATTTTGGTGGATTTTATAAAACTCACTGGTAGGTACTAGGGAGGTAAATTACCGTACGTACATACTTGTACAGTACATGGTATGTGCGCTACATACTACTCCGTACATCTAACGATCTGTACGAGAAGAGAAGGAAAAGAGAAGGGAAAAAAAAAAAAAAAAAATATGATCCATGATAAATAGTTACTAGTATTCGTCAAGATACCCTACCCTACCCTACCCAATCCCATCCAATCCAATCCAGTCCAGTCCAACTGGAATAAGTTGGGAAGGGACTCAATAAAAAAAAAAAAAAAAAATGTAAGGAAAATATAAAATGT